TAAAGTTGTCCTTTGCTCATGCTCAGTGCGCTTTTCTTTCCAGCTCTGCTAAAAAGGTCAGCTCCAGATTTATCCAAGGGCATCTTGGTCTATGGTTTTGTCATGTTTGACAACACCAGAACAGCTGTGTTGTTTAAAGACTGCATGAAAATCATCTGCAGGTTTGTGCTGGATAAACAGGTTAGTTTGGTGTACTGTGATGGATTTAAAGTAAAGAACTGTGTGTGACTGGTGCACAGTGGCTGTAGTTTCATGCTCAGATGAAGTGTAGCAGAGATTCATATGAATTTTAGCTGATGATGCTTAGATCCACTGACTGAATTCCACATTCATACCAACTTCATACCATCTAGAAAACAGACAGCATAAACGTTGCACTGTCAGTGTAGGGGATGGAAATCAGCCAGGACAACTCATCAAACATCTGCTCACATCTGGTTGAATTCAGTTGTGCACATCCACAAAGAGCAGCAGGCCAGCTGATCACAGCCTGTACACTAAGAAAATCTCATCGAGCTGTCAATAGAAATGATTGTGAGTTTGATTCTGTTCCCCACACTGAGCCATTACAACCAGTTTAGTGTTCCCCCACCTGCTGAATCCACTTTAACACCTGACTGTACACGTTTTCCTGTTTAGAGGAAAAGTTACCCTCTACAATGGAGACAATGGAAAATATTTTTTATTTTCCTTCTTTTTCTGTAGATTCAAGCTGAGTGTAATTAGATTTTTTTTTAAATTTTACTTAGACTAACGTTTTTATTCCTGTCTACTGATAATATTTTATCATTATGTTAACACAGCCCAAGGTTCAGTTAACTTTGCACAAAAATAGAAACGTCCTCCAAACAGCTACTATTTACTTTCTTACTTTGAGTACATTTCAGGGCCTGTACTTTTACTGGAGTAGTTTGGAACAGTAGTATTGGTAGTATTTGTATTCCTACAGTTCTGTATGACAGGGGTAGGCAACTCCAGGCCTCGAGTGCCGGTGTCCTGGAGGTTTTAGATGTGTCCATGATCCAACACAGCTGATTTAAAGGGTTAAATGACTCCTCAGCATTTCTTGAAGTTCTCCAGAGGCCTGGTAATGAACTAATCATTTGATTCAAGTGTGTTAACCCAGGGTGTGATCTAAAACCTGCAGGACACTGGCACTCAAGGCCTGGAGTTGCCTACCCCTGCTGTATGAAGTCACAGAACAGAGCCTGTGATTGTGGATGGTTGTCAGTCTCTCTGTGTTGGCCTGTGACAGACTGGTAACCAGGCTGGGGTGTATTTTGGTTCCCACCCTTCCCAACTTACCTGAAAACCTCCCTGACCCACTCTAACATGGTCTCAGTTGCAGACTTACCTGCCCTAATTTAGAGGGCGCTTACCTGAGTGAAATCTTGGCGCTGGAATGAATTGAACTTGAGCATAACCAGTTGTTGCTCCTACCTGAAACATTCATTAAAGCTCATTAAACAGTTTCTTCCAATATTATATTATTATTCTGATTGAATTGTCATTTGCTTTAGTTGTAACAAACCTTAAGAATAATTAAAACAGTTGAGGTGAAGGTGTATATACATTTCACAGCAAGAGAAATGTGGCTGTGAAAGGTGCTTTTAGATCAAGTCTAGCAGCTCAGCATAATGCCCATCACTGGGTATTTTTTGGCTACTTTGAAATATTATCTAAATTTGCTGTAATTTCAGTGATCATAAAAACAGAAAAGTTGCTGACTTTGCCCCAAGATATGATTATAAAAGCTTTTATTCACTTGACATCATGCTTCTACCCCAGCTTTGCTGTTACACAATCCTCTCATCGATTTCATTTCCTTTCAGTGCCATGCCTTTCTTTTATAATTTCTCTACTGCTACCACCGTCTGCCCTGCACTCATCCATCATTCTCCATCACTGCAAACTATACCACAATACTGCAAACTACCCAGTTTAACCTGTACTGTCTGTTCAGTATAAACTTTAAATAACATAGAATTATCATAATTAGTTTGTTTTCAAAGACGTTTCTCACTCTGAAATAACCAGATAACTTCAGCAACACATCATCTGCAGAGCCACTCACTGATTTAAAAAGTCTAACATGAGTGAGGACTTCACATATGAGCTTTAAATGTCCAGTTCATCACAAAATATTGTGTCATATTCCTCTCCTGTCCTCTCAGCCGTACGCCTCCCTCCAACTCTGAGAGGAAAGTTATCAGAGATTAAGGATTTGATTCTTCCTGTTAAATACAGCCCCTTTACATTCAGCCATCAGACAGGCTGTGATCCAGACTGCATAGAAGCAATTAGCCTTATATTATATGAGCTGTTCCAAATGTTGCAGTTAAATTTATCTGTGACTTGAAAAAACTTAACTCAGTTTCAACTTGTTCATCTACAGTAGAGTAAGTGAGATGCCAAAGTATTGTGACCACAACTTTATTGACATCTGCACAGAGGAACACATGACCTTTAACATGCCACCTGAGCTGCGAGCCTCCCGGACTTTGGGCTTGTTTTAAAAACCTTTTTGCAAGTTTTAACAACAGCGTAATATCAAAAGCTCAACTTGTGCTGAACATTTCTGCAGTGCGGCAAAAGTTTTATTTCCTTTTGGTCATAAAAAGTATAACCTAGTTTAACGCCATTGTAAGAGTGTAACATCAGTAAAACAATGATGTTAAAATAAGATAAGATCAGATATCTTGAAGGATCGTGCATTCTTCACGTTCGCTTGTGTGCATAAAGGTAGTTTCCTCTCTGGAAACTCAGAGCTGGCCACCTTCCATCAGACCTTGAATCTGTTATGTAACCTGCAGACGAGTCAAAGAGCCCCGTCATATGGCACCGCTGCAGGCCCCTGTGGGACCCACATTTGTCAGTGAGGTGCATGTTTGTCGTTTTCTGCTCACTGTGGGAGTCAGAACCAGAATAAGCAGGTTTTGTAGGAGATCCTAAAGTTTCCATGTGGAGCTTTTCCTACAGCATCCGACAGCGGCACAGCTCAGGGGTCGGCTGGACCGAAGCTACATAAACAGTTAAATAATATCAGGAGAAACTTTTCCTGCATCTTTTATCACATGTTTCAACAGAAATATGAAGCATCTGCACTTTGGATCCCAATTTCTTGATTTTCTTCTCACAACATGACGATGAATGAATCTTTTGACCTTTCAGGATGTTGGTTGAGGAACTTATTAATTTGTTAAATAAAAAGGATCTAGGGTGGCCCAGTAGATCATGATATGAGATTTTCTGGGGGGGCAAAATTTCCCAGTCTTCCCTGCGTATCCTTGCCTTTCCCTCCTCATTGTTTCAGTTTATACATCCTCAGTTCTCTTCTCACCTCCTCTCCTCATGTTTTCATCACTCCCACCAGAGAAACGAGTGGAGGAGGCATATAGAGGACTCCAGGAGAGAGGAGTTGAGGCAACCCCCACATTTAACAAAATGATACATCCTTGCTTTGGACATGCCAACAAAACAACTACAGCCAGCCTATTTCATATCTAATGTCAGGATCAGCTGCACGCATGCTGCATAAAGAACACCCTTCTCCTTTGGAACTTGGAGAAATTTTGCAGAGTTCTCTGGAAAGAAAGTCAAATGAGAAAATTGGATGGAAAAAGCCACATTCCAGATGTACCCACTCACGTTGGCTACTGTAAACAATATGCCAGCAAATGAAATATTACCAGAGTCCACAAGAGCCATGAAAAAACAGTGTAGGAGGCTGAAGGTACGTAAGGCAGCTTTAATTGGATTAACTGTACTTTTTCATGTGCATTGTTCCAGTATAGTATCTGGGTTAGGTCATGTCTACAGGATGCCAGATATCACGGCTGAGCTCCTCGGGGTTACTTCATTCATAAAGTTACATTACTCCCTTTTGAGGATTACATTTGAATTACTCATATAGAGATAATAAATACATTGGGTAATTTTTAAATGTCCATTTATGTCAGTTGTATTGTATTCTTTTGAATATTCACAGTAAACTTGTATATGTGCATGTCACAAGCTGTTCAACAAACTTCACGCTTTTTTCTTTCTGCTCAAAGAGTGAAGAATGCAAAAGAAAAGGACAGAATTTGCATAAAACAGCTACATTCCAGATGTGTCTGTTCAAGTCGACTATTGTAAATGTGCTACGCTCCATGCCAACAAGTGAAATATTACCAGAGTTCACAAGAGCCATGAAAAAACTGTGTAGGAGGTTGAAGGTATGTAAGGCAGCTTCAATTGGATTAGCTGTACTTTTTTTGTACTTTTGTATGTAGTGAATCCGTGTTGTAATCTTTTTTAAATTAATTGCTTTGATCTTAAAGTAACAATTTAGTGTTGCATCAAAAATATAAATGTGAATGTATGAGATTAAAGACCTTACATCTTTCTTTTTATATGCTGTATATGCTGTATATGCTGTATTTGCACATAAAAAATAAAAATATATAAACACTTTTTAGCTTGCAATACTTCTCAGCATTTATCTGATCAGCTTATAATGAGAAACTTTTCAAAAAACGACCAAAAACTGAGACTGATTTAGTTTATACTAAAAAAAAACAGCACCCTTTTACCAACCACTGACAAAACTGAGGTTACAGCAAAGGGTTTTTGAGACGAATGAAAAAATAAACAAAACTAAGTGAAACATCAAATATAACACGGGTGGTAAAATGACAAAAATAAAGTATTAATAATTAATAATTGATAATCATATTAAAAATCGAAAACTTTAACGAGATAACAGTGGATAATAATAATAATGCTAATAATAATGCTAATAATAACGAAAATTGTAAACGCCTGAAGAGAATGGTTCTAGTTCACATATACAAATATCAACATAAATAAATACATAGCGGCGTTCTGTTGGTCGTGGATGTGCCGCCCTCTGCTGGATCCACGTCACTAACACAACTATCAGTTCCCGGAGCTCGGTTTTTACATTCATATAGTAGGCGGGGTCAGCTCCAGTTACCAATAGGTGTGGACCTACGGCGTTACCAGGGAAACGGTTTACGAGGCTGGAAGACGCTAGGAGACTGTGGAAGGCAGCAGCAGATAGGCTAACGGGTATCATGCTAGCAGGCTAATGGGATCCACAGCGATCTTAAATTTTTAAAACAGTCGTTCACCTTAAATATTAAACGTTACGCTCTGCGGTTGATTTGCGGTTACCCTCCCCCCTCCGTCTGCCGGAGTGAGAGCAAGCATGGCAGCAGCGGTGTCCCGCTAGTCGCGTCTCGTTAGCAGCTTAGCACGCTATCTGGCGAGCTAATCAGAATTGTATACCAATCACAGTTTCTCCCTGAGCACCGGTCTCGGCGAGGCCGCTCGACAGTGGATGAGCTCGGGTCCAGGGATAAAACGAGGACTGCGGCTGCCGACCAGGATGGATGTGAGTTAACAGCTGGAGTACTGGGACGGTGTGGCCCAGATCTGTGGATCTCTGGTTTACCCAAGAGCAGCCCCCTTCCCCTGGGACAAGGGGGACGGCAAAGCTTCACGCCGCTGCTCAGGCCCGGGCTCCGGGATGAGATGAGGCTCGGGTACCGGTTAACCAGGTGGGCTGCCCTCTCGTAGAGCAGGAGGTCCGGTGGTGAGATGAAGCCAAAAAAAATTGTCGATAAATTATGTGATGCTGTTGTGAGGACTTCTTTTTTTTTTTTTTTGCACCATTCACTCGGTTACTTAATGAATGAACTGCTCCTCAGCTGCAGCATGTAGAAGGCAGTGTTGTCTGGTTCCAGCTGCTCAGCAGGAACGTTTGAAAAAAAAAAATCATGCATGTAGAATCAAACACATAAACAATTTCCCCCTGATTACACTTTGATAAATTCAGGTATAAGCCAGTAAAATAACAGTCTGTGAAACCATCATTACTCAGATGATGGATTAGTTGAACAGAGACAGGAAAAACAGGAGCTGGAAAACTTACAGCTGAGGTGATTGGATTACGAAAATTATCTGCATCTTTTCTGATATTCAATTAAAGACCTCTGCTGTTTAATAATCTGTTTACTATCTCAGCCTGCTTGGACAAATCCAAGCTGTATGCAGACTTTTGTCAAAGACAAACTGATAAAGAAATTAACCAGCAGATGAACTGATCATGACAATAATCAGAAAATGGACCCTGGATAAAAAAAACAACTCATAACTCAAATACCGGTAAAAAATGTAACTTATTTGATGATATGAATAATTTAGGGAAAGGGTATAATTGTTTTATTAAGACTTCAGAGACTCCACCTCACCCCAGATGTTCAGATTACAGAAAGGTGGAAGCTGAGGGTTTGTGGAAAACTGATTGTGGCTAATTGGGCTGATGGTCTCAGATCACTGCTGTTTGCAGCTGTGTGTTGTACAGTGGGACACACGGTTGTGATGCTGCAGAGCTGTTGTTGGTCTGTGTGTTGTTGTTTGAATCAGAGCCTCTGTTCTCTCTCTCTGTTTCCTTTGCAGCTCAAACTCATTGATCATGAAGCGGCTCTTTATGCAGCTTCAGCCTGCGGTTACTCTCTCGCTCATGTGATGGAGACCACGCTCTGTGCCTGACAACAAACGGCAGCTCTTTGATGCTGGATGCGCGTTCGGGATGGATGTGTGCTGTAGGAACCCGAACCGGACGGCGCCGGTCGGTGAGGACGGCCCACGGCGAGCTGACGTGCTGCTCTGCTCTCGGACCAACGGTTGGAGCTGGCCTCCGCACCCCTTCCAGCTGCTCGCCTGGCTGCTCTACATCTACTTTGCCGTCACCGGGTTCGGCATATTCGTCCCCCTGCTGCCTGCACATTGGATCCCTGCGGGCTACATCGTATCCTTCCACTGCGTGGACAGACCACCACCGCACCACTGGTAGCGAGGTGTACAGATAAACACATGTGAACTTTCTACACCAGTAGCATTTTTTTCTATGGAAAAAAAAGGGAGGTTTTCCTCAAAATATAGTAAAACGTCTTTCCTTAAAATATAGTGTTAGTTTAGTCAAAGAATAGAGCAAATTGTCTTTCAAAAGCTGACGATGCTTTTCCTCAAATTATTACAGCTTTTATCTAAATATTTCGCGTTTTTGTCTTCTAAAAATTCCAGTTTTTATTATTTTAACTGGATCGTAATTCAGGTGAGTTCTCAAATTTGTGTCCCAGATACTTTGGTTGTACAGTCGACAATCTATAATTTATTCATTCTGTCTGCTGGTTTATTTAGCACAGCCAGTGTAAAGTCTGGCAGTGTTAGGGAGCTGTTTTTGGTAGTGTCTGATGCCTATGAAAATATGAAAAATGACCCCTATTCAAAATGTAATTTCCATATTGTCTGATAGCATTGAGTTATTGTTACTGAGGAGACAGACAGTGATTTCAGGTCTTTTCTTTAGGTGAGGTGTTACAGTGTTGCTCCGGCGTATCTGTGTTTGATTCCTGATCTCTGTGTCAGTGTACGGGCATCATGTTTGTGTGTCACCTGTTTGTCCACGTCATGGCCGTGTCCATCGATCCAGCCGACTACAATGTCAGAGCGAAGAGCGTCCGAGGCCCGGTCCCCGTGTTCGACCGCTCCAAACACGCGCACGTCATCGAGAACTGCCACTGCTACCTGTGCCAGGTCGAAGTGTGAGTAACAAACAGAGGCTTTTCAACGCATGTATGCTGCATCATGTTATCGTTCCCGAAACTGCCGGATACCTTCATCCCAATGATAAAAACTCTCAAGTGCTCTCTAAGCTTGTATTTTAACATTTAGCTGTTTTATGGTCATTGTTGAGTTTTGTTGATGAGTCAGCAGCAGCGGTGATAAATCTGAAAGCTCACAGCCTCTTCAGATGGGATGCTGTCGGGTTAGTTCGATGCACTAATCTCAGGGTGAGTCTCAGCGTGCTGTGGAATATTTTTTTTAAAAATAGGGATGTGTACAGATCATCTTTAAATTTTGTAATTACACTTGCTGTTGAGCAATTTACCTTTTAGAGCAATACACATTATTTTCTTCTTGTTTATTGAAATGTAAAACAAGTGATTTTCACTTTTTATATAAAATGTGTTGTTTGTATGATTCTAATGTATTAATGATAGTGATTATATTGTTTCTGAAGTGGACGCTAGGGTTTGGTAAGGATATAGCTTCCAAATTCTGTCATGTTTTTTTAAGGGAATTTGCAAAAATTATATTCATGATATAAATTATATTTATGAGGATACAGACAAAAAAAATTAAATGATCTGTAATCACTTGCAGGCAGTTGCATTTTTTATGCTGGCAAAATGAAAAATATTTTTCAGTGAGTTACTGTGACCACCTAATGCAATGGGTGAATCTATTGCTACAAGGTGCAGCAGCAGCATTATAGTGCAGTAGTTTTAAAAGAGATGGTCGCTGAGTCATTTGTTTACTTTTGGGTCACACGTCACCAGCTGTTGGCTGGTTCAATTTGGAGGTATATCTCTGGTGAAACATATTTGCCACAGTTGTCCATCTCCAGCAGGAGCAGTTTTCTTGCTTATTTTTCTAGTAGTACTGTGCTTTGTTGGAGGTTGAGGTGAGCACTGAATTGTAAGTGGATGCTGACACGTGGCTCTCGCTCTCAGAGATCCCTGGGCTCATCTCGTTGTGCACTAGGAAAAATAAACACATGATCTTGCTATGATATCATGATATGACACTTTTATCTAACTTCAAAATTTAAACCGATGTTATTAGGGGTGATTCAGTATGGCACACCCTATTGGACCCAGACAGCTGCAGACGGATACTCATTTGTGTTGTAAGTCTTCCAAGAGATGCAGGCACAGTTGTTGCATTTTAGCCTAAAAGGCCTTTATACCCCTTCGTGTGCAGCAATATGGCCCAGGCAGCTATTTCAGTTGATGCCTTGGTGTTGGCTGATACCTTTAGATGAAATCAGGTTTTGTCTAAGGTCTCCAAAAAAACAAAACAAACAAAAGGAACCCCATCTGTTTTATATTTTTTGTCATTAACCCTGAATGATCTGGTTAATCAAAACTACCACACTGTGGATTGCTGCCAGCAGATGGTGCTAACACTGGCTGAAACTCTTTCTGATCAAGTTTCCCCATTGGCTGTTAGTAGCTGAGATTTTGTAGCTCAAATTGTCCTTTTGCTTCCTATCAAGCTAACATTGCAAATAGGTCACGGAGGTATGTTTACTTGAGCTGCTGTTGGAGTTTTTATTGGCATGTCCCTGCTGGGTGTCTCTCACAGGAGGACAGTCTCTGCAGGTTGCACAAACACACACATGCAGACACAAACTGCTTGTCAGCTGTTAGCAGCTTTGGTGTTGTTGGTAGCAACATGAACATGAACTGAAGTTTGCTTCATCTTCTGAGCTGCTTGTCACATGGTCTGGATTTGCACTGTCCAATCAGACTCCGGTGTTTTTAAGTATTTTTTTAAGCATGTTTGTTTATCAGGGGTCTCTCTGCATGCACAGAAAAGATTTGTTCCATAACTAAAGTGAAGGTGTCATGGATTTATTTAATTTACAGCCACATACTTTGCATTTATTTATTAATGCCACAAAGTGTTACTGATCTGAAGTCGAGGTCACAAAGCTTCAGCTGAAAGAACTGAAAATGTGTCATGTTAAATTTAATTTTAAACCCATGATGGTTCCTTCCCTCCAGTCCACCGCTCCTTGTAACCTTTTTAAAGCATGCTCTGCAGTCATGAACCCTTTGAGATGTTACCTAACATATTGCAAGTGTCCATCTCCGTTAGATCAGAGCTCATATGGTCTTTAACCTGCCAGGCTGCTTGCATAAAGTCAGTGTGATGTTCAGGACATTTTATGTCCTGAACATCACAAAAATCGATTTTCTGATGAAAATCGATTTTAGCTTAAATAAAGCGATATCGATTCATTAAAATCCTGAATCTATTTTTAAAAATGTAGGTTAAACCTCACAAAACTATTTCAGCAACCACCAAACAGCTAAAACAGTAAATGAGAGCAGGTAAACGGATTCTGCAAAAAGACGTAAACACAAAGCGTGGACCTGATGCATCAGAATCAGTGAGCTGTGGGCTTTCTCACCAGACGGCACGTACGCGGTCGGACACATCGTCGGGGCTGAAAACTGTCACCTCACACATTCTGATGCTGCAGGTTTCATCTCTCTCCAACCAAAACTGACTGAACCAGCAGCAAAAGAAGATCCAAACTAAGCTTCACATTACGCTTCAGATAAGCATCGTCATGAATTCTGTCTTACTTTTGCGGTTTTGCTTCCACCACAATAAATTCACACTTCCTGCACAGCTCTTTCTCTCTCTCTCAGTGTACTTTAAGAACAGTTTCCCATCTAAAAATCACAATTTTCTGCATTATTCGCTTGCTTATTACCCACCAGTTTACCATTGTGCACAGCGCTGTCGGCCGCTGTTTTTTTTTTTAAAAAGACCTCTGAAAGAAAAACTCATTTCTGCTGTTCAATTCCGAAGAAATGTAAACTTTTCAAAATGTTCTACTGCAGAATATTTTTAAGGTTATCTGCTATAAAAAGCCAGGCCAGGAAAATCTCCTTCATGTTTTTTGTTTTATCCTCAGTTACTTTGACACAAAGACATCTGCTGTGATGCTCACACCTCTGATGAAGTCTCAGAAGTGTCAGTACTGATAAATAATCAGAATTATAATATTTCTGACTGTTTGAGGCAAAATTTCCCTGATTTGAATCGAAATCGTGGATCAAATCGAACCTTGTCAATCAGAATCGAATCGATTCTAGAAATTGATACCGGGCCCTATTGTGCACACTTAAATCTAACAATATTTCTTAGAATTTGAATCTACACAAAGACTCTGAAAGGGTCTTTGTGTAGATTCACTGTAAAAACATTTGATTTTTTTTCAGACTGTTGATCTAAAGAAACAGTTCAGGCAGTCTGGTGACTCTCCAGACTCTGTGTGTTTAGATGTAAGAAATGCCGAGAGGAATTAGCTGTTTCACAGTATGCTCACACAAATGAGGTGCACATGTTTCGGTTTAGCGTGAGCTGATTGTCATCTTTGATATGAATCAGAACTGACCTTCAGAGAAACAACAGTTTGGGACTTGCTTCCAGTTGTCTGTACATCTGCACTGCAGACAAGAGCTCTTCACCACTGAATTCTGCTGATTTTAAGTCTCCATTTAAATATTTTACTGGCTTCATTAATTGCAGTGTTGCATAGTCCTCAGCAGCTGAATGCAGCTCAGTTCCTGAGTAAATAATAGAGCTGCTCATTGAAGCCAGGAGGTGATGAGCTGAGCTGAACTGCAGTGACAACCTCTGAGGAAAAAAAAATATGGGTCAGTGGGCTGGTCTCAGGAGGCCTCAGAGAACTGGGTCACAGGGGCTCTTACAGACCGTAAACCCCCTCTCAAACCTGGATCTGATCTGACATTGCTTTGCGCAGCACTCCCATTTCAGAATAAACATTGGGACCGGATATGAATACCCACAATCCTCTGGATCTGCTGCAGAGAAGGAGCTACACATTGACTCAGAATCTGAAAACTAATTTTAAAGGTGGTTTATTATGCTTGTTGTGCTGCTCCATGAGTAGCTTTGCATGACTCCCAGTTAAAAATGATGTTATTTATCTTTGCAGTTCATCCCCTGTCTGAAACGAGCTTTTTGAGCTTTTTTTTTCGAGCTCTTTTCAGTTTTCTATTTTTCTTCTGATTGGTTGCCCCTCAGAAGTTTGTGCAGCTGGTGGGCGGGGCTTCTCACACAAGTAGAAAAAAGACTTTTATCTCATGTGCACTGACCTCATTATTCCTCAGTTTTATTTGCATATACGGCCTATTTACAACGCCAGGATGTGAACTCTGGGATTGGCTGTTTAAATAACAGTTATGTACCATTTTGTGTATTAAGAACCTGAATTGTGTTGGAAGTAAAAAGTTCTCATTCACACATTAAACATCCACACACATTAAAACAAACTTGACTGGTACTGTTTTACCAAAGCAGTAAAGTCATCAAACGTGAATGTGTTTCAGTTAGATTTGTATCACAATGCGTGCTGTACATTCTGTATAGTAGTGCTAGTACTAGGCTGCACTTCGTTGTAAACACAGATATATGTATGTGGTTGTTTCAGGGGACCGAAGTCGAAACATTGTAGCGCCTGTAACAAGTGTGTGGCGAACTTCGACCATCACTGCCGGTGGCTCAACAACTGTGTGGGCAGCAGGAACTATAAGTGAGTACTGGTTAATTTTCTGTGGAGTCAAACAATGAAGGATGCTGTCACCTGACACTGGTTCACTCCCAGTAAGACAGCTGTCTCTGACAGGGAAGTGAGGCTGATATACAGCTCTGTGCAAAGCACTGAATCTCCTTTAAGAAAAGGAGATTCTGTTGCACCTGTACGTGCACATCTGAGTCTTTCCAACATTAAAAGTCTTTAAAACAGGAAAGTCACGACCGCAACACAGACAAACTAACAGAACGAGGCAGCTGCCATATGATGGGAGTGATGAATCAGAGGAGGATGCGTCGTGTCTGATGTGACTCAGTGAGGAGTCGGTGTCTGTCATTGTTTTTATAATTCTGTGCTTCTGCCTGTAATGATGAAAGTGTCATTAACTGAAAACCGAGTTAGAAGCATTTCCAAAAGTCTCTTCTAAAATATTGGAGCAACATAGACATGGGCTGCAAAGATAGCAAATGTTATGTATTTTAAATATTTTAATCAATGTTTTTGAAATATATATTTTGTACATTCATGCCCATTAGGCGTGTGTGCTGAGCAGTGCTGTGTGTCCTGCAGGTTGTTCCTCCACAGTGTGATCTCAGCTCTTTTGGGAGTTTGTCTCATTCTTGTTGTTGCCTCCTACGTCTTCATCGAGTTCTTTCTGGACCCCACTAAACTCCGCACCGACAAACACTTTCTGGGTAAGATTTGACCTCTGACCTTGTAAAAAAGCTGTGAGTCTGTAGTGTTTATTAAAAATTTTAAAAGAAATCTCAGTTAGGGTGTTCAGAAATCAAGAAGTGGAAGCTGAGGATCACAATGGGAAAGAAAGGTGATTAAAGTGACTGAATGCAGCATGGTTGTTTGTGTCAGGTGGGCTGGTCTGAGTAGTTTGTTTCCTACACAAACCATCTGTGGGTTTACAGAGATGGGTTGAGAAAGAGAGAAGAGAAGAGAAAGTATTCAGTGAGCAGCAGCTCTCAAGGGGAAAATACCAGAGGTGAGAGGAGAATGGCCTGGCTGCTTTAAGCGGATAGGAGGGTCACAGTAACGCAGAAAATCACTTGTGACAACCAAGGTATGCAAAAGAACATGTCTGAATGCACAACATGGGCTACAGCAGCAGAATGCCACACTGGGTGCCACTGTTCATGAGAGAACAGGAAACTGAGGCTCCTGCAGGCTGAACAGAATTAGACCAGAGAAGATTGGAAAACTTTTGCCTGGTCTGATGAGTCTCAGATGGTAGCATCAGAATGTGGAGTGAAAAGCACGGCGTCATCCTGCCTCATATCAACGTTTCGGGAAGTTGGTGGTATTATGGTGTGGGGGATATTATCTTGGCACACTTTGGGCCCCTTAGTACCAGCTCAGGATCAGTTAAACCCCACAGCCTACCTGAGTGTTGTTGCTGACCATGCCCATTCCTTTGTCAAGAAGCACAGGTGAGTGATACTCTGAATTTAGCAGCTTCACAGTGAATGGAGTAACCTGCAAACTGAACTGTGTGCAGTCTCAGCTGCAGGATGAGAAAGCATGCCCCCTCCTCTCAGTGTTATCTGCAGGCGGAGAGTCCACATCCACAGCAGAGGGAGGAAGATCAGGAGAGTGAGATGACTGATGTCTTTGTCCTTCAGTCTCGTGTTTTCATGTGAGGAAGATTATTTAGTTTGTCGACAGCTTATAGTTGTTTCAGTGAGTTTAGGGTGATTTTTGCTGTTCAAAAGGTCACTGTTGTCTCTCTATAAATGACTTTTTATTATGTTTCATCGTGAACCTGAAATTTTGTTAAACTAAAAAAGGAGGAATATTAGAAAGATCATTCTGACGCCCCCAGCCAGCTCACAGATACAACGACAACAACTTTTAAAGCTAAACAAACTCAAAGTTATACCTGATGTGCTTGGATTTTCCTGATATATTGGGGTTTGGTTATTCAGCCATTAAATGAAGAAATGCTGTTTTCACAGTTGGCTCTTCTTGTGTCCCGCAGTGAGGAATGAGACAGGTGTGTGGTTCGTCTTCCTGCCCGTCGCGCCTCTCCGGTCAGCTGCACCGGTGATTCCCGTCCTGGCTGCCATCACAATCGCTCTGGGTCTTCTGTCCTGCGTGTTGCTCTGCCACTTGCTTTGTTTCCACATCTACCTGAGTAAGAAATAACACACCTGCCTGTCTGTCCACGTGTCAAATCTTTGACAAGAGGAAGCTTTTCTTTATTTTCTGCCCAGCAGTTAATGTTGTAATGTCTGATGTTCATAATAAATATTTTCAAAATTCAAAACGTATGTAAAAATGATCCCAGTGAAGCTCAGCCTCAGACATATTCTATAACATACCGATTTTAGTACATCACAGATTTAAGTTTCTGTGGTGATCTGCTGCAGGTACAGCATGCTTATGAAATGCAGGCAGTGCAGTTCACAGGCAACACGTCACGTTAGTCTGTAGAATGGCTTCTGTATTTATGACAGTGGGGCAAAAAAAAAGGTCCCTTCAAAACAGCATTTTCTTTCAAAGTAACTAATAGGTTTTCCTGTTTCAGAATCCATTTGTTGTCTTTAGGTTTTATAAAGAGATAACAATCCACAAAACTGTGAGTTTGCATCAGTTTTACTACTATTTTTATTTTGTAAACAATCAGATATTTACGTGAGCATTTTATAAAGGTTTTGAGGGGTAGCACTGGGGGGCCATCAGCATTTGTATTGCTTTAATAATTCCTTTTCTTCAGATTAGACCTGATGTGCTGCTCAGTGGGAATTGAGCATAAAATCCACAGTCTGCCTTCTTTGTAAAGATTTATTGCAGAGTTCATTTATTTAAAAGCAATATGAGGCTTCAGCAGTCTGAGTCAGACACATCACTCGTCTGCAGCTCGATAAAACCAAGAGAGAAAATTCAGTTAAAAAAAATTCTCTTTAATAACTTCACTCACATTCAGGTGATGCTGCCAGCATATCATACGTTTGGATATTTATTTGTTTATTTAGCAGCATGAAGGAGCTATAAAGAGCTTTTCCTTCCTCGTGCTGTCTACGCTCTCACAGAGGTTATTAAATCTTTGTTTCTGACCTCATGGTAATGCTGCAAGACCCCGTCAGTGTTTCAGAACAAATCCTGTGGGTGTGTGTTTTGTGTTATGTGTGTGTTTTTAACTGGTCCTCTGAGGACATTTAGTCCACTTCCTCTTTCTCTTCACAAAGACGGACCTTTAAAGGCCATGTCGGGGTTCAAGGGTCTGGGGAAATGTATGTTTACGTATGTGTGTTTCAGTGTGGAACAGGCTCAGTACGTACGAGTACATAGTGAGGCAGCGCCACCGTGTGGACAACAGAGACTTGAGGAAACCGGGATCTGTGAAAGAGACGGCAGCTCCTTCAGTCCTCAAGGTGACTGACTGGCAGGCGAATAAGCTCTGTTAATAAAGGGAGAAAGAGTCTGGTTTGGGTGGGGTTGAGTTCAGGCTCTGAGTCTTTGTCCTCTGCTGTCCCCTCATCAGGATGTGAACTACTCAGGGACTCTGGGTTACACCAACCCTCAGCTGGACGTGCAGGAACCTACTGCTGTGGCCGTGCGAGGAGAGGCAGAGTAAGTCTCTCAGCTCCTCCTGTTCTGGTTCAGATGGCCGGGTCCTACTTAAAGCCGGCGCGTGTGATTGGCTGAGATGAACTGACCGGGTCCCGACACGTCTCAGTAAACAGCTGGCAACAGTTATTTCACCACACGAGGAGGCCGGACCTCGTCGCCATGGACACGGTTTTCTTTGCAGAAAACAAAGTGCAACATGAAATTCTTTGGCTTCAACTTTCAGGAAGCAAACAAAGTGTGGATTGTGTGTGTGTGTGAGCTAAAGGGAGGAGGCTTTTTGTGTGTGTGCGTGTGTGTGTGACAGAAAGGCTTGATAAATAATCCCACTCACTTTAACACTTGCTCTGAATCCTGTCTATCTGAGACGTAGGAAACCTTTTTTATAGTGGAGCAGGAACAGTCAGAGAACAACGTGGAGGGCACAAAATAAAACACTGACAAACAGGGAAACTAGTTTAGATACTTAATCACACGTAGAATCTGTCGTTGTCCAGTTAAATTGTTCTAGTTCCAGTGTGTCGGGTCATTACAGAAGCACAGCGTTAGTATGATCTGTGAGCGACCGACAGGTAGATTATTTACCTGCACTGACAGGGTTCATTGGTCGACGGTGAGACGCTGGAGTGCTGACCCTGAGCCACATGCCTCTCCACAACAGCTGTAATAACCTTTTTCTTTTTTCTGAGCACGTGTCTTCTTTACCTGAGGTTTCTCCCAGTGAAGGAGACGAGTGTGCTACTTTTTATTGACATTATTACCTCTTTTACACCAACACGGTGCCAATGCAGATCTAGCTCCGTGTTATTGGTTCCAACTTTGTGCTCCACAGCTTTGTTGTACCAAGCTGGTGTCAGCTTTTTAACATCAGCACCAGGCCTTTATTTATTTATTTGGTGGAAATCTGAGGAACTGGCTCTAGATCGGGCACCAGCACTGTGCTGGTGGAGAAGGAGGTCTCTGTATTAAGGGGTGATCTCTAGTGTTCACAGAACTTTGTGTATGTGTTTCTATTCTATAGTCATTAAAGGTAAAGTGAAATATTTAAGTCCTTTTGCTGTTGATGATTATGGCTTATAGCTCATCAAATCCAGTGTCTCAAATTATTAGAATATTTCCTACGATTTGCACAGTATCCAGGTACTTTTTTTTTAGATGCACTAGTACAGCCTGTAGTACGCAATCAGATAATCATGCATTGTGTGTGTGTGTTTGTGTGTACCAGGTTCCTTGCTAATGGTAGAGTGAGGACTATGTCCAGTCCTGTCATGGAGGAAGAAGCTCCGCCCACTGTCTCTTCAGAGATGAAAGCCATAGCGGCACACACACATCGACACACACAGGTAAAAGCCCACAAACCACACACCCGATAACAGGTTCAGTGTGATGTTGCACAGACTGTGGAGGTCTGACGGATCAGGAGAAACTTTGGATAAATTTGTGTATATTTGAAGCGAATATGAGAAAACAGCAGTGAGGGAGACCGCACTTAAAAACCTGCTTTGTATTTTTATTCTTCTGCAGAAGAAAAAGAAGAAGAAGGTACGTAAAGTCCCAGCAGAGGTGACCAGAGAGCGCTGCCCAGCCACAGCCCCGCCTCCCGGTATGGCCTCACCTGTCTGTACATATGAAGGCACTTTTGAACACACCGTGTTCTCTAACCTGAACCTAAAGGCTGTCAAAGTTCCGCTGCTCTGTAGCAAGCGTCTGCTCTGCTTTCCACTTAAACGACCTCCTCTTTGAAATTTACTGGTGTTAACCTTGCGGTCCTGTGGTGCGTTCACACACAGAAGTGAAAGTCTGACAGCAGAAGCTGCGATGTTAGAAAACGGGCTGACACAAATGTCATGACACAAAGCCTTGGGCAAATAAAGGTGCTTCATTTGACCTTACAGCAGAGGGCAGTTTCAGTCAGTTCAGTTAGCATAGCACACGATTAATCAGCAAAAATAAATATTTTCCTAATGTTGTTTTTGGAAACTAAAATAAGAGAAAATTGTTTACAATTACAGATCCGAAATCTTACATTAAAGAACAAATCCATTCACAGAATTTGTTTGGAGAGGTCAAACTTATTGGCACCAGCTGATTAAACAAAGTGAAAACAAGTGAAGGCTTAAAAAAAAGAATAGAAAAGAAAGTTACTGAAAAGCTGTTGGGATGAAAGAGCTAAACTAATCAAAAGACAGAGTTTGCAACATTTTGAGTTTGGTCATATCCAGGCTGCTTAATTTAATTAGATTTTCCTCTGAAACTGTTCAAAAACAGGAACACTCAAAGCTTCTGTCCGTCTGCCCGTCCCGTGTTCACACAGCAGATCCTGTCACCTTAAGTCAGGGAGGAAGAGCAGCTCGACAACGTAAAAAAGCAAAACAAACTGTTAGATTTGAGGTGGGAGCACTGATTGACCTAAACCTGAACCCTTCCACCTGTTTTGTTTCTCCCTTACTTCCACATGTGCAGCTGTGCACACTGATGTTTCAGCTGCACATGTGACCTGCCTCGGGTCACTGAGTGCAGACAGTCTTCAGGTAGCTCCCGTCTAAACTTTGAACTCCTTTAACAAAACATGTACCTGTTCTCAGGATCCCAGCTGTCATTTATTAATTTTAGAGTCACACCAACAAAGGTTTTACTCTTCTCATAGATGTTCACAAGCATCTTGTTCAGACCTGTAGTGATGTTGGAGCAAGTCCAAACGTGGTGTAGATTTGTGGTGCTGCTGTTTTGGTTATTTCACTTCTCACATTTGCTGGAAAAACCTGGAAAAATTGGGGGGGGGAATAGATAACCATAAACAGATGCTATCTGTAGGACAGCTAAAATGTTGCTCGCTGTATTAAATCAGAATAACAGACAGAAGTACCCTATGTTTGTTTTCTCTCCTTATTTTGGATGATGAATCATTGTAGCTGCTTCCCAAACATGCATTCATTCCAAGAGCAGCAAGACTCCTAATGACTCGTAATAGGGTGATCATTTTAATTTAATGTATTAAAGAGAATGGTTGGGTGGGATGAATGGGCACATATGCTAAAAATATAGCTCGATTGGCAAGCTATTAGTGGCAATTCTGACCATCGTTAATAGCCGAGATCTTCTTCCATTCACACAGCCTTAACCTCGAGGGTCCCCAACTCTCCAATCAGGAAAACATTCAGGTGTTTTCCTTCAGGTTAGAATCAGAGTCTCAAGTGGCATTCAGTCAGGACATGCAATGACTCTGAGCTGTGGGATTTGAGCGACTGATATCAGGTAGCGTGGGAATGTGTATTTTTCTGTTCCTGGATCACAGAGCTGCTCCTGCACAGAATAAAGCCTTTACAAATATGAAACAATTGCATCGATGTCTGGCAGAAAGCCTGAAATATGTCCTTAAATGTTCTAAAAAAATGATGACATTAATAATTTCCTCTTTCTTTCCTAAGAAAGTAAATTGTTTCTGACTCTGTCTCTTTCTCTCTAGCAGAGCCCAGCAATGTGTCCACTGTGTCCTTGGGTCAGCGGCTTCCTTTCCCAGCATTCCCCCTGAGGGCCACGCTGCCCCCCCTGGCCCCCACTTCAGGCCCCGTCCAGGCTGCCGCCCCTCCCGCCGAGTACCACTCAGATTCTGCTGAGTCTCTGGAGGAGATCCCGGTGGCGTTGGCCAAACTGGGCTCTTCGGCCTCTGCTGCTACAGCAGACGCGTCTTCACACAGGCCTGTCCCGGCATTCCCTCTGCCCTCACCACAGCCCAGGACTAAAAGGAAGGGCGCCTCCTCCCGCGCTAAGAACGCGGCAGAGCTGAGGTTCGAGATGGCCACCACGCACCCTCCCTCAGTGTTCGTTAGCCGGGCCAGCGGAGAGGCCACTGAGCCCCTAGAGGAAGTCCTCAGCCTGGGCAGGAGGAAGACTGGACTGAGGCCCAGACCCGGGTCCAGACCAGCGTCCCGGGCATCGCTGGGCTCAGGCGCTCCCTCTTGGATGGAGCAGTAATAAAGCAGACTGCTACTCTTTATCTTTTTACAATCACTTACTGGCACAACTATTTTACTTTTATTCTGAAGGGTTTATATTGCTCTATTTATTGATTTACTTTAATTTTGAAAGCCAAAGCCTGACTTCCTGTTTAGGTCTCGGTAAATGAAGTGTTTGTGGATGTTTGTGTGTCTGTTCCTGTGGAGACTTTATGGACACCTCCCAATTGTTTTTCACTGTTTCCTGTCAATCGGTCCTCTGCTACTTAACCTGGTCTCCATGGTAACTGTGGGCCACAGAGACACCAGGTGCTTAAGAGTTTAAATTTGAACCCCAAAAAGGCCAATAATGAGTCAATGAAGTCATCAGTAACTAATCCGATAAGTACCACTAAGCTAGAAAATGAAGCTCAAAGCTTCAGCAATTACATCTTATCTTATTTATCTTATGTGAAATCTGTAATTTGGATTTTCTGACACTCGTCACTTTTCAGCCAATCACAAATGCTTTAAACGTCTGCCGGGTGTAGCTTACACCCGCTGCTACACTGCAAACTGCGACACCAGGTTGAATCCTATTAAAGGAGCACTTCAGCATTTAGTTCATTCCAGATATCGAACATCTGAATTGGTGATCTTTAGTTTTCTTAACTGGAAGCTAACAGGCTGTTGCTGCGTAGGTAGTGTGCAGCGTGGGCGTGGGATCAGAGAAAATGTCACCACGTAGCTCTTTCAGCCGTCACGTGTGAATGAAGCAGCATAAAGACATGAAAGCTTAGAACGGCTCTTTCTTAACAGGAATTAAGTTTTTCAGTAAATGTTGAACCGCTCCTTTAAATGTTTCATTTTTTCAGACTCCTCCTGAAGTCTGTGTGCAGCTGGACATGCTGAGGATGCTTCACCTGTCAGCTGATTTAACAATAAAGAATGAAAGCTGGTGCATTTGTTACACGTTTATATCCAGATGCTGGTCCGGAGATTTAATTCTTCTTCGTTTGCTGCACTTTCAGCTGTGCCTGCTTGTTCATTCCTGAAGAGTCATGGCAGCAACTGGGTTTTCAGATCAGAGCCACAGTAATTAGTTGATTAAGAAGCCTAAAATCAATCAATTCATAAAAATCTTCTGTAGCCTTATCAACACACATGACTACGATAAAGCATTAAGCTACAAATTTTGGTTTTGTATATGTAAATGAGTAATCCATCCACATAAAAAGAAGAAATTAAATGCAAATGAAGATTTAAGCTTGTATCCTGCTAGTGAAGCACTCAGAGTATAGAAACATGTATATAAAAGATGGGCACACACCATGACGTCACTCTGTTCTGTGAACCTTTTTCTCACTGTTTTAAGCTTTGATTTGAGCATTTTTGTGATTGCTGTCTTTTTTATTTGGAGTCACAAGTGACCAAAATTGTTAAATAAATTTGAAATAACATGTAATTTCAAACTTACTGCTGTGTTTCCATCCTTTCTCTTAGCTACTAATCCAGTTCAGGGTTGTGGGCATGCTGGAGCCTGTGCCAGCAGCTATGGGGTAAGAAGCAGGGGTAGAGCCTAGATTGGTCTTATCAAAGGTGTTTTATTAGAAATAAGTTAATGTAAATCATTCCCTTTATTTGCAATAAAAGGTCACAAGAAATGACTAAAGAAACAGCCCAGGGAAGTAGTGCAGAGGAAGACGGAGAAAGCGATGGTGTGAAAACATCAAGAAGTGAACATGGAAAACTTTTCCAGATAGTGGATTGGTATCCTGCTCGTGTGCTCAGTGCTTCTATAACTCCACGGGGAATTAAGGGATCAAGACATGACAGGATGGGAATTTAAATGACCTCGTGTAGCCCAGTTGCAGATCCTTCACAACCTTCCAGGCAACTCTGGCCCACAATTTGGAAATCATTAATTTAGGCAAAAGAAATGCTGCTTTTCTTTCTCATACAGTTTGTGGATTAAATATTTTCTGGGTTTGGACTGTCGGTTGTACAAAAAAGCCCATTTATAATGAATCAGAGCTCTGGGGAGCTGTGCTGAACATTTGTGCCGTTTTCTGATGTTTAATAGTTCGAATGATTCATTGTTAGGAAAGTAATTGTAAGTTGCACTGTTTTGTTTTTCACTCTAATGGTCCCATTATGAGTCCCGAGGGTCAGCCTTCATGCTGCAGCTGTTTGTGTTTCCAAAATCAGAGCTGCTCAGCAAGAGGCAAAAGAGCTGAAGGTCACAGGAACACATACACACAGTGGTTACACACATTACAGGGATGATTTAGACGTTAACTTAATGAATCATATTTATCACCACGTATCTGCCAAAGCTTTTATTTTGACAGGCTGATAATGTGTGCGTGTGTGTTGTTGCATGTCATCATCCCTTCACGATGTGAGGAGGAGTTGCCTGGGCAACCGGTCAAGACAACATCATAACAACGTCAATCAAAGAGGAGTGGCAATGAGAAGTATGTGACACACACACACACACACACTCATTGCTGGGTGTTCCTGTGGTGACACCCGAGAGCGGTCACTGAACACACACACACACTGATGTTTGTGAGTCTCTGTCAGCAGCCGCATTAACACGCTGCCGCCTCAAACGTCAAATATTGTCATGTTTTTGCAGTCAGCTGTCCTCCAGTTATTCCTCCACCTGCTCCCTTTAGGAGCTGCAACACTACCAGAAAAAACAGCAGCTTTTTTTACAGTACGCGTGGAAATCAAAGAATGACACGACTCTGCCCGTGAAAAGCAAAAACCTTATCTGATTTTAGTTTGCCTGATCTCCCTCTAAGGTCATCCTCTCACACATCTCTGGACAGCTTCCAGCATCTGTAGTATTTTTAGATGCTTCCCTGGAAGTCCTGAGTGAAAGTGGTCAGCAGAGGTCTTCCATGGAGTGATCAAAAAATAGCAGATGTGCTGAAAGTGGTCCAGAGATGGAGCTTAAAAATGGAGATCAGGACATCTGAGTCAAAGTTAGAGACCTTTGATTGTAGCTTGTATGCTTAAGTAAATAGATAAATAAACAGATGTGATTATAGGTGTATAATTGCATATGTTTGTTATATTCATATCAGTGTGTACAAGTAAGGCGAATATTGATATTATTCATTAGAAAGGAAGGATAAGATCTATCTATCTATCTATCTATCTATCTATCTATCTATCTATCTATCTATCTATCTATCTATCTATCTATCTATCTATCTATCTATCTATCTATCTATCTATCTATCTATCTATCCTCTGTTTTTTCATTTGAATATGTGAACAATATTCGATGCCCTCTGACTGAAAAAAATCCAAAATATTGCATTCATGAAGGAAGTCTGGTGACTTTTTTATATTTTTATATATTAATGCTGCCATGACTAAACATGCAGACAAACGAAGAGTGAATATGAACACTCCAGCATGGAGGATGCCAGAGTGCGGCTATGGCTATTTCCTGGAAGCTTTGTTCTGGCCAAAGTCTGACGTCCTCTCCAGTCATATGGCTGTGTCCTCGCAGGTTGTCCTGGAGACCCTGATCAACATGATGTAACCGAACACCAACAGCTGCTTCCTGCCGACACACCCGCTGCCATGAGCTCACTTCCTGCCGCTCAAAGACACACACTCACAGTCTCTGACCTATTGTTCTTTGCGGACTCAAAAAGTAAACAGCGTGTTTATCCTCCTAAACAGGATGAAGAAGACATCACAGCTGAGCTCACTCAGCCCATCAAAGTGGAAAACCAAAATTATTCTGACAGTGACCCGAAAACCAAATAAAGAGCGAGATGATGAAATCATTTAAATTTTCATCAGTGTCCTCAGTATCTGTCAAACAAACACATGATTGTTAAATAAACTCTTGTGGAAGAAGAATCAGGCGGTAAATTAATGAGGCAGCAGATAATCTCATCTGTTCTTCTGGAGCTGATTGATCTGCTTTCAATACGAATCATCTTCAGATCAGTCAATGAGGTTATCAGATGTTATAAGAGGCAGCAGCAAAGCAGACGAGACATACTGCAGCTCATATTTCTAAAGAGAGAAACTGATGGAACAGCTTCAGCTTTAGGCTTTGTGTTGAATATCTTTTTATAGGTGATAATTACTGTTATTTCTGTTATATCAACCGTTCTGCTTCCATCAACAGAAAGTGAGCAGAGTCCATTAGCTTCTCTCTGAGCAGCCAATGCTAAAAGTATGTGAGCCGAACAGAGAGCAGGTCAGTGTTGAGTGCAGCAGTGCACCTGTTATACTCTGACAGTTTCCCCACGCTGTGAGAGACAAACTGGGAAGCTGTGTGTGAAAAAACAGGGCAGCAGCATCTGTCCTGTGTGAGGGAACGTTCTCATTTCCACGCTGATGAAAACCACAATGATTTCATTTTATCGTGCTTTTATTAAAGCTGGATCGTGGTTTGGATATTTATCCGTAAAGAACAGAAACTCACTTAATCACGCTGTTAAATGGTCTAGCAGGCCGCTCGGTGAGCCACAGCAGAGCCCCGTGCACCAGTTACTCTGACTGGCTGCTTTGATTTAACCCTTTGTCAGTTTAACCGTCCTTCTTCTGGACGTCGTTCAGATAAACAAACAGCAGTTTTCTTCTCCTACGTACTGTGTGCATACCAAAGTTAACATAGTTAGGCATTTTCTAATTAGGTTTTATTTATTCAGTTTTGTCTCAGTTACTGGGCTTGTTTCACTTTAGTTTTTATTGCTTGAGAATGCTTTGCTTTTATTTTTATTAGTTTCAGTGTTAGTTTTAGTCTTTTATTGTATGGAGACATGTGGCACAGGCAGTATTTAGGAAAATCAGCACAGTGTGACATTAAAAACACTGAACTTTTTGAAGCAGTTGACTCTCACTCTTGTAGACATCCAAAGTCTCATTAAACATTAGGGCTGCCACAAACGATTATTTTGATAGTTGACTAGTCACCGATTATTTTTGGTCGACTAATCAGATCATCATCCATTGGACGTAAAACCTACGGCTTATTGCACCAGCAGCATCTGCATTTTTGTAATTGGGAATGATCCGCAGAT